TGAGTAGCAATTTCATTTTATAAACATATAGCACATAATCTTAACCCATTCATCCAACTTTCCTTTGGCACTTAGACTGTTTCCTTAACATAGTTATTACAAATAGAGTTGCACTACACAAAGTGTATATATATATAACCTTGTAATTAATATTTTTGCATTCCTCATGCAAATGACTGAAATTGGATTGCTAGCTCACACTTTACATAAAAATTAACTCCCAGTGGATGAAAGACTAGATGTAAGAAAACATAGGCAAGCACTCCACAACATGGTTTTCAATGATGTGCTTGAGAATTAGACTCCAATGGCAAGAAAAACAATAAAACAGAAACCAATGGGAGTAAGTGAAATTAAAAAGCTCCTGCACATTGATAGAAACTGTCATTGAAACAAACACATTCTACTGAGTATTATAAAATATTTTACATCATACATCTGACAAGTGACTGATATCCAACAACTATAAAGAACTCATATGACTCAACAAAATGAAAACAAATAACTGAATCACAAATTGAGCAAAAGAGCTAACTTGACACTTCTCCAAAGAAGACATGCAGATGGTCAACAGACACATGAAAAGATGCTCATCAACACTTATTGTCAAGAAAATGCAAATCAAATCCACAATGAGATAAAAACAACAGGTGTTGACTAGGTTGTGGAAAAAAAGGAACCCTTATATACAGTTGATGGGAATGCAGAATGTTACCTATTCATTTCTACCATGGCTATTTGATAAGCAGACTTTTTTGATAAATTATAAATGAAGTCTATTTTAATTTGCATTTTCTCTTTCTCTTCACTCATTTCCTTTTCATTTTGTTTTATTCCTTCCCTCCTTTGTTCCATTCTCCTTATAAAAGAATGGAACCCAGCATTTTGAGTCCTAAGAAATCTTTACCTACAAGATGACAAAGACATTTTCCTGTTTTCCTTTGAGAACTTTTTTGCTTTACGTTTATAAATCATTTGAAATTAATTTCATGATGATGTGAATTAAATAATGAAATTCTATATTTTTCAGGCAGTTATGTAAATCTTTCAATAACAATTCTATAAAAGAACTTATATAAAAATGATAACAGTTTCATCTTAAATATTTCATTTTCCTTAAATTTAATTTCCCTTAATTTAAGGAAAATTTAATTTCTTTAAATTTAAGATAAAAACAATTTCCCTTAATTATTGCAAAAGCATATAATTTACCAGTGAAACTATAGTGGCTTGGAGTTTTCTTTGTAGGAAATGTTTTAATTATAAATACAAGTTCTTAAACAATTGTAACACATTTATTTTTTATTTTGCATCCATTTTATTTATTTTGTTTTTAAGGTATTGTTCTATTACTTTTCTTTTGTCAAATGTATGCCATAAATTTGGTGAAATTCCATAATTATTTTCCTGTCTCTATGATGTTCCCTGTGTCCAGTCTGATATTGGTGTTCTCTCAGTTGTTTTAAATAAATCTTTCTTTGTATTTATCAATTTTACTTAAGATAGTAACTTAAAAAAAATTAGCTTTTAACTTTATAGTTCTTTGTGTTTGATTGCTGTCCATATAGCTTCATTTTCTTCCTGTTTCAGTTAATTTTCCTTCTTTACAACTACCTTCTTACTGTAGAATATAGGTCATTTACCTTCATTCTTTTCATTCTCCAATATAAGAATTTAAAGCTTACAAATGGGTAGGGAGTGAATGAAAGGTGAGAACAGGGAGAAGAAAGAATAGTGGTTTATAGTGGCAAATTGGTGGTGGATGCATTAAAGAGGTGATACTTTAAGGGGAGAACCCCATCTTTCCAAAATATCAACAATAATGTAAGCCAGTGTTACCTCAATAAATAAAAGAATTTAGGCAGTTCTCTTACCTACCTTTATCTATGTAGGCCCTTCTCTTTTTCCTTTTCCCTTTCCTAATAAAACTGACCTTTGGAAATAATCAATCAATCAATCAATAAGAATTAAAAAGTAGAAAATTTAAAATTGAGAGTCTCTAAAACTCTCAATTTCCCTGTGAACACTGGCTAGCTATATATAATAAATTATTATTGTGATTTAGATTGGATCTGTACTAATATCTCTGGAGGTTTTTTTTCTTTTTGAGTCATGATTTATTATTTTGCTAGCATTCCTATTACAATACTCCATAATCTGAATGGCTTAAACCACAGAAATTTAATTTCTTGAAATTTTGGAACTTACACTTTCAAGGTTACGATATCAGGAAGATTGATTTTTTTCTGAGGCCTCTTTTTAATTTCTGGGTAACTCTGTTTTCCCTGTGTCTTCACAAAGGATACCCTTTGTGTATGTCTTCCTAACCACCTTTTCTTATAACACCAGTCATAGAAACACATACACATACACATTATATATTCAAACAGATACATATGTGTTGCATATAGTTATTAAGCATGTATTTATTACAAAATCTGAGAGGTTATTTAAATTGCCAGTTAATGAAAATGACAATGCATGTGAAGGTACACACCTGTATCTACAGTAACTTTACAGTGACTGCTGAAGACTGTCATTTGGTATCAATCTCTAATTCTTCACTTAATGATAATAATCAGTTCCCATGATAAGAGACTGCTACTGCTTCATTCTGAGTTATTTTCTGATTATACTAGCTTTAGTCACATGCTCTACCTTCTGAGGAGTTTACATCTTGCTTCGATATCCTTAATGCTTGTACTTGTCGAAGGTTCAGGCTTCAGCATTGAAACATAATTATTTAACTTTATTGAGACTTTGCTTCCCTATAGTAGTCAACAGGAAGCTGGGTACAGCTGGAGGATGATTTAGTTTGTTTCTTTTGTTTAATATCACTTTATTTGTGGCTTGAGTAATTCAATTGGAAATAAATTTAAACATTTGATGATTTTAAGCAAGAACTGTGTCTAAGGCAGAAATATTGTTGGATTAATTAAGAGACAATTAGTTACCCTTTCCACTGCATCTTTGGCATTGTCACAGTGCTTGGGAATAACATTCTCCCTTCTTTGAACTTAACTTTTACTGATTTGGCATAATTTGTTTCAGTCAATTTTTAATGCTACTTAAATGTTATCTTTTCTCTACTAATTATGTATTTTTAAGTGTTACAGTTAATTACTTGCAAATTATTTTTTTAATTATACAATTTGTGGGGAAGAAATATTACAAAAGCATCTATTAAGATGACTGCAGTCTTGAATGCATTGAGCTTATTATTTGTTGCAATTTGGAGAATTTTATGGTATCCATCAGGTGCCATTGATGAGAAATAAACATACAGTGTCATTATTTTCTAAACATTATTTTAACGTTTAACATTTATTTGTAAAGACAATCTAAATTTTGGAGAGGGGCAACTTAAGAAATGTTTGAATTAATGAAAAATGGCTTTTGCTTATGTGAATAGTTTATGAGCCACAAGGAGGACATGGATGCACATGTTTCAGTGAAAAAAATGTTGAGATATTACTGCATGATGAACACTGTTAACTGGAATAAACTCTAAATGATTTTGTGTAAAAGATTGTTAGTCAAAGTGAGGATACAACCCAGTAAGTAGTCGGACAGTTTTTTCTGTGAGAACTGTCCCAAGTATCACAACTTAAGTTTAGTTCATATAGATAGGGAGAGTAAGTCATTGATATTAAAAAGACAATTATTCCTAACAGTAGGGTTTTGGGTTCTAAGTTTTTTTGACTAAATATATACTGATATTGTCTGTGTACAGAGGAAGACAATGCTGAAGTTTAACCTCTTCCATTTCAAAAAGGCACTGTGGGGATACAAAGGCAGTATACTCATTGTTTAAAACTTCTTTATCTGACTCCTTGATTATTAGTGAAGGTTGACAAAATTGGCAATATACACTTAGACAGTAGATTTTGCATTACTGCTTCACATCCTTCAATTCTGTGCAGATAGTTTTGCTTTTTTTTTTGGTTGAGCAGGGAGAGGTCATTCCCAAAACATTTTACAGTATTTTCACAACACTGTGTGATAGGCACACATTTTCAATATTGAACAACAGCAGCACAATTCTCTTCACAAGGTTTAATCATCTGGGGGCCAGGGGAGGAATTGAAGATTGTGGAGTGGGAGGAGTACATTTTCAAAAGAGTAGAGGCAGATGGGAAAGTGCTCAATCTGAGTTTACATTGGGAATAAATATTATCAGGATCCCACAGAACACTGGGGTTATATAATACACTGTTGTAAAACAGATTCCAGAAAAGCTTTTTTCATTTGAAAGTTATTCCACAGCTTTAAAACAGAAAGCTATTACATGGTTTCAAGTTTAGAGAGGACACTTTTTCTAACACAGGTCACTATATATCAAACCAAAGAATTAATATAAGTGAATGTTGGTTCTAGTAATAAACTGAAGTAAATACTGATTTCAAGTCTATTTTAATTGGCAATAATGTATTTACTAAAGTTGACAAATTAGTAGATTTACTACTTGCAAAATGTTTTGCTCAGAAAACTAAGTTAAATTGGTTAAAAACTATTTCAAAAATCTTCCTAGAGATTTCTTAATTCTCTTGGAAAGAACAAAAATAGTAAGTTATCTAACACCATTAAGTTTACTTTTAAAACATGTAGTTAACTAATTTTGTAAATAGTCCACCTAAATTTTTATAACAGTTAGTTGGTAAATAAGTGAAGAGTTTAGGAAAATGAAAATAACATTTTAAAGAGAGATATTCAGGTGTTTATTTTCTGGGTAAGTCTTATTAAGAAAAATCCATTAAGCCCTCTGCCACTAGAGGTTTTCTATTTAAAGAACCTAGTTCCCTGGTGAGGAGGATAAAAAGTTCAGGAAATAGCAATTAAAATGCTAATCCCTCTTGTAAAATTCTGGTTTAAAATCTGGGTGCCTAATTGAAAGAGAAAGTGGAAATGATTGTTTTTAGAGAACATTCATTCTAATATAACCTTAACTTTTTTTAATAATGCCATGGTCAACCTGACTTTTCATTTGTTAATTCCTTTAGGAGGTGATTTCCTCTCCTTTCTGAGGAAGAAGAAGGATGAACTAAAACTCAAGCAATTAGTGAAATTTGCATTAGATGCTGCTTCTGGTATGGCATATCTTGAGAATAAAAACTGTATACACAGGTGAGTAGAACATTTTTAAAACATTTTTTCAGTTTTCTTAAGAAAATGCTAAAATACTGATATATTTGCTGCAGTTTACTTCACAAAACTTAATTTCTTACTGGTTTTCATATTTTGTGTGAAAGTTTTCTTTCGTAATTGTTTATATAGTTACATTTGTTTTCTCTCTTGGGGGAAGTACTGTGATTAGTTATTTACCTAGTAATTAATATTGATTTTATTATAGTCATAAATAGGGTAGTGATACAAAATGTATTTTTAATGGACAAACTGAGGTGTACCCTACAACCCCCAAACTTGCATGTTGTTAGTGGGTTCTGATAGCCACTGCATAAAGACAAAGCATTTTCTTAGCTTGTAAGACCTTTAATACAACAAGACTAATTAGTGTGTAAGCATAGAGAGAGAGGAGAGAGAAATAACAGTTTCTCAGTGAAGACCCAAAGTTACCCATCTCCTGTGGGTTAATGTCCAGCTAAATACCAGGGCAACTGAGGCCTGGAAACTTGCCACGAGTCTAAGGCACCTTCGGGTGTAGAAAAGGAAAGGGGCGAGACAAATCTGGAAGAAAAGGAGCAAAATCAAAGTAAAATTCAAGATAAAAACTGCCTTGTTGGCCTCCCTATGGGTTTCTCACCCATATCACTTACAAGTGTCTATGTCCCCAAGTCCCTGGTGCAAGTCCAATTTCAAGAAACTAGCACAGCTGCTTCTTCACATGTCTCTACTCTGCGTGCTTCCTTCAAGTCTCCTCCATAGTCTTCTCTAAGCCCCTTTCTTCACTGATCCCTGCTTCTCAGCTCCACCTTTCAGTAAATGAGTCAGGAAACCTGGAACCACAATTTAGTCTTGTAAGACTGTCTTCACTATTTTTTTAAAAGAAATTTGTGTAATGTCATGGAAAGCATCTATAAAATAATTCATGACATTGAATTTAACAAGAATAATAGAGTTTATCATATTAGTTATTTAATGGACACTTTAGAAAACTTTCCCTAATTGCATTAAGTCCACTGACGTGATCTTAATACTTGATAAATTGTGGTTTTATTTCACTTGTAACTGGAAATATTCTTTGTGGCTAAATGTCAATACAACTTAAAATTACTTCCAGCATTCATGTAAATTCTGGCTAAGTATAAGTATATTTATGTATATAAATAATATGAAGTGGCTTGATGAAGCATAACACTTTTTAATGTGGGCCAGGGTTCATTGTCAATTTGGACTATTGATGAACATTAAGCTTGTGTAACTGTTAAGATATATTTCTGTGTGATTTGTTTCTTTATGTAGCCTTTGACTTAACATTCTGGTGAGGTTGTATAATGTATAATTACAGGAGGAGAAAGTTATCTTCACCTAAAATATACATTTATTTTATCTCAGTGTATATTTTTCAATTAATTATCCAACAAAATTCACTCAGTATTTGATAAGATGGTGATGAGGTAAGATGATAATTTTCAAATGTTGAATTCAATGAATGAGTTACCTCTAAGAAGTTTCCAGAGAGTTCCCCTTTCCATGTCACATGGCAGGTGTACTAAGGAAAAGTTACTTGCATGGAGTCAGACAACAGCTATATTTTAAAGGGATACATTTATCAGGAAAAGGAGAAAGGCTTGTTGACAGAGAAGCCTGCATCAACACAGGCAGGTAGTCTTTGTATAAGAAGTATGATTTGCCTTTGCCAGAGCTGGAGTTATTCTTATGTAGTGTTCTTTTTGGAGGAAGAAGAGCTTCATTATTATTTTTTTTTTAAAGATTTATTTATTCATACAGTACTGGGGTACAGGCCAGAGATGTGGAGGTTGAGAGAATTCACCAGAGACAGAGTGCGGAGCAGAACAGGCAGATCGACGAAGTACACTGCTGAGGGGAGCAGCGGGCAGGTCAGGAGAGGTCTGCCGCGCCATGTGGATCTCCTCCAGGGCAGGCGGGGATGAACTCATGCTGAAGTGGCTTAAGCTTCTTAGTGCTGTGCTTTAACTCACTGCGCCACCAGGGAGGGCCGGAGCTTCATTATTTTGTGAGACAACAATCTATTTCTGTAGCATTCCATTGGAAGGATTTTTTTTTTTTTTTTTTTTTTTGGTAGTCTACACCTAGATTTCCTGTGCCTCAGGATTTTCCATTTTGGCAACTAGTTAAATGACTGTTAATAATTTCTATCCCACCTCTAATTTCTGGCCTTGCAAAGTGTACATCCCAAAATTTCTACTCTTTAAGTCTCCATTAGATTCAGTTTGATTCTGAAACTAAAACTGTACCCTATATCTCAAGTGTGTTTCAGCAATTATATGTGTTGTTAAATACATTTCAGTAGTAAAGATAATAACTTTTCTAACATTAAAAGTGGCTAAAAACGTAGCTAAAACTAAGCCACTTTCATTATATTTCTGTATAAGTTACTGTATATGAATCATAATTATAATATTTTAAAGTCATAAGAAGCCTTTTGATTCTGGACAAGAATTGTATGATCTTATCACTAATCCCATGAAAAGAATACACATCATTGAAAGCAAAATTAAGGGTTTTGTTAGTTATTTATAGAAAATTTTAATTTGTATTGCTCATGTATCATGGGTATCAAATTCTCTACTTACTCTTTAGTATCAAACTTTTTTCATAATGTTGAACTATGAGTTTAAAGCATAATAAATGCACATTATTGAAACTCTTATTAATTTATCATTTCCAGTGATATTCTTTAATGTTGATGTATTACTATCAAGGGAACCATTGTTTTAATTGCTGGCTGCACTTGCAGTGATTCTTATTTTTGCAAATGAGCATGTGCATTATTTTAGGTGCCTCTTTAATCAAAACGGAGGCTTTTCTAAATTGTAGATTGCAGTTAGTTTTTTTTTTTTTTTAATTTATCTCACTCACCTTACCATGTCATTATATTTTTTCCATTTCACTGTAATAATTTTCATACATTCACAAGTTCAGCAAGTTCATCCTTGCTGAACACATAACCTGGCAGATTGTATATATATGTTATTTGCCTACTGCAATGGTTTATTGATTGAACATGTTCAAGTGTCACATAGAACAGATAAGACAAATAGGTTTCAGTGTCAAATTTCAGTGATTGGTAGTTGTAATGGGAAGAAATATCGGGATGAAGCCACAGGTGTGGGCACAAAAGAACTCACCAGGAACAGTGGAGAACAGGAAATGTGGATTTATTGAAGTACTCTGCAAGAGAGCAGGGGATCAGACAGGAGAGTTCTGTAAAGAAAGAATTCCAGGCTCTCTTCTATACTCTATTTTTGCAGACTTTCTAACTTGGGACTCCAGTTTCTAACAGTTACCTACTGGGAAGTGTGCCTTCCTAGAGCTGCCCTGTTTTTTCTGCACATGATGATCTGTCCTTCAGGCTTTTCCCTAATGCAGCCTTATCAATTTCCTTATCTACTCTAGCCTCCCAAAAGTGCCTGATGGGCAAGGAGTGGGGGCTTAGTTTTTAACCTTATTAAATGGTACCCCAACAGTAGTGGCTCTCTATGTTATATATTTGAGAAGTTTTTAAGGTTCAGTCTCAAAGTCCAGTGATAAGAACCCCTGGACAGGACACTGATGAATATTACATAAAATCTCAAATTTATTTTCAGTGGCATAGAGTATTTCCTTTTGGTCTTTATTTTCACAAATACTTTCCTTTTTAATATGAGTTTTGCTTACTGGCAATTTTATAGCAAAAAAAAATGTTCTTATAATGATTTCTACTGACTCTTAAGTTCTACTTTTCCTTGCTTCCCTTCATCATGATAACCCAGTAGCTTGAAAATCTCTAAACAGGGTTGTTGTTATTTTTCCATTTCAAATTTATATAAATGCTCTTTTGGATGATTTTTTTTTTCCATTTTCATGCCTCACCAAAACATGACATTGTTTGGTCATGATTCACAAAGATGAATCATTCTTTGTGTTGAATGTTTTTACAAAGGTGAAGTTCTTATGTGTCATCTGTGGATCTATTTCTGTGGTGGTAGTAGTGAGTACAGTGAAGTTTTATTTTGATTTAGAGTTTAGATGTATACCCAAGATCTGTCATATGTTTTCTATAAGTATATAGTATTCATATCAGTGAAAGTGTTTTTCCACATTGGACAAATTTCTAAGGAGGTATTTTAAAAATTAAAAAAAAAAAACCTAAAACATAATCAAAAGTTCCTTTAGTTTTTCAAATAATAAAGAAAGGCATCTATTCCCATCCATGGCTTCCCAAAAATATTACTAAAGTATATGCATGTCTATGAATTGCAAAGTCTGTATCCCACAAGTCAAAGCAGAAGTTTTTAGATATGCTCTAAATTTTATATGAATTTTATCATTTTCACATTAGAGGTTACTGGAATTTAGTACTTGAAAATAGTTCTAGTTCTCTCCCCCCAAAATTATGTCCTAAATTTAGAGGGACAAATTTTCTTTCTTATCTTTTTTTATTATTTCAATTACTATATGAAGAGAAGAGCAATACTTTAGAAGTTTGACTGTTACAAAATGAAACAAATTATTACATAAATAAAAATACCTGCGTTTAGAAAGTGTTATTGTGATTTTGTTTATCTTCCAGGAGAGAGTTCTCTTGATAACCTAGATTTCCAATTGAAACTATTTTGTTTAAAACTTAAAATGGATATCTTTCACTCCAATTTCTTGTAATTGACTGCATTTTCATTGTAATTATTTTGTAAGTCAATGTAAACTTCCCACTTCTATTTTACATTAATATTTGAAGTGCAATGATGAACTTTGGGTTCTTTGTGTGTTTACTTGCAGACCTTATTCAGACTCACTCCTGGTCACTCCAGCACCAGTGTTTTACTTTCCCTCATTTACATATTAGTAATCGTAGCAACTAACACGTATTGAAAAATTATGTAATACCAAGCACTAGACTTCAGTGCTTTAGAGGCAATGTATAAGAATGTAAGCTTCCAGAAGACCATGATTTTTTTTCCTGTGTTGTTCACTGTTGAACT